CGCTGCTGCAGTACTAAGGCTGGCCTCCAGGGGGCGCTCAGCGCTGCTGCAGTACTAAGGCTGGCCTCCAGGGGGCGCTCAGCGCTGCAGGGACTTCTGGGCCTCCTTCAGCAGGGTGTCAAAGTCCAGAGCGTCGTACTTACTCTTCACCGGGCCGGGGCCAGCCTCATCTGGCAAACAGAGAAGCACAGGGTCAGCACCGACAATAGTAATTGTGAAATCCGTGTTGTAATCGGCAGCATACAAGCTAGTTTATTATTGAGGCGATCGGACTCAAAATTTAGATTCCCACAGACTACATTAACCCAAAATATAAAAGAAATTCCTGTTGAAGTGATAATAACAAGTAAATATTTATTTTTATGTGTAAAGTGTAAAGAAACAGGAAGAAAGGTTCTTAGCACTTCCACAAAATAAAAATAAAAAGATTATTTTCTGGCAGATAGTGAGAACTGGAGCTAAAAGGGGATGTTTTTCTTGAAATCAATTAGAAAACAAATGTTGGAAGTTTTCTATTAATGTTCTCAGGAAGAATTAATCCACTTAGAAAAAAAGAGTTTGTGTGGGAAACCTTTTTTTTTCGCTGTCCAAATAATAAACTCCTGGCACAAATAATAAATCGCCTCACTAACGGGTTAGAACTGCTGGAGCCTAAAAATCATGAAGGATTTTGGCCGTTTCTGAATAGATTCACTTCTGATCACCATTTGTAGGAATCTTGCAGATTCACTTCTAATCCAATCTTTCAAAGCTGCTGATTGAGTCTTTATCTCATGACATGAGTTCATGTGTGTTTTTTCCTGCTCTTTTTGAAAAGTAAATAAAGTTTCTAAGTGCTGCGTGATGATGTGTTCAGGTTGGCTCAGTAAAACGACAATTAGGTTATCATGATGCGTTCAAGTGTAACGTAAAGAAAAGGGAAATTGACTTTTTGGCGAGAAGTAACGAGTATTACAGTTGTATATTGCTCTAATTATTTTAGAATATATAATTAAACTACTGATGCCAACATTTCTTAAAAATTACATTTAATTTAAAATACAAGTATTTATTTGTTAAATATTGTCGCATCGTCTTTCCACCAAATAACAGAAAAGTATGGATAGTGGTATCGATAAAGACTCGGATCGATAAGGAGTATTGATAAAGGTATCGATATCAATAAATATTAACGATCCCCATCCCTACTCAGACCCACTCAGACCCACATCCCCACCCATCTACTCCATCCAAACTAAAACGGCCCAGGACAGCAGAAACACCATCATCTGTGTGTCTGGGTTAGGGTTAGGGTTAGGGTTAGGGTTAGGATTAGGGTTAGGGTTACCGAGGTCGATGTAGCGCTTCCGGGTCAGCCTCCGGAGGCCGGCGTTCCCGTTCTGGAAAAAGGCCTCCCGCTCTTTCCGGTGCCTCTGGGCTCCGGCCTGCCGGATCTTGATGACCCCGCAGCGCTCCCTAAACACAGAGAGCTTCAGAACAACACCTCAAGCCTCATGGGCAAAAGTTACAGCACAGGATCTGGATCCTCCTGTTTGGGTTTGTCTGCCAGGGTAAGAGGGCATATTACATCACACTCTAACTCAGATATGGTTTGTCCTCTGGGACACACGGCTGTTCAGCAGCAGGAGCCAGAGACCCAAAGGTCAGAGGTCAGAGGACCACAGGCGTTTCCTCACGTTTCACAGAGAATCAAAGAATAAAGAGTAATGGTGAGGTTTCTTCTCAGCCAAACCCAGACAGTGAGGTGTGTGTGTGTGAGTGTGGGTGTGTCTGTGTGTGTGTGTGTGTGTGTTTATGTGTGTGTGTGTGTTTATGTGTGTGTGTGTGTGAGTGTGTGTGTGTGTGTGGTTGTGTGTGTGTGTTAGTGTGTGTGTCCTGCTGGTCCTTACTCGTTGCAGATGATGACTTTGCATTCCTCCGTGCTGCCGAACACCTGGAAGCGTTTCCTCAGCATGTTCTGCGTCACGCTGCTGGGCAGGTTGTGGATGTAAAACACCTGGCAGTTGTCCTGGCAACAAGGAAACCATGGCAACAGTCAGCACACTGGACCGTCCAGAATACTGATGTGTAACGACAGGAGGAGGCAGAGTGGACAGCAATACACACACACACAGAATCTGTGCGTGTGTTTTGGGGGGAACTATACCTCTTCAGACGTGGCTTTGATCCTCTGTTTGTCCTCACAGATCTCCGAGTTCTCACTGAGGGGACGCAGAGAAGAAGGTTAGATCAGAGAAGGAACGTGACAAAAGTCTCCCTCTGACAGCCGCCCAGCCTTTCCTCCCCTCTCAGCTCCCTCTGGGCCTGAAACCCCTCTGGGCCTGAAACCCCTCTGGAACCTAAACTACCTCCAGCTGCTCGCCCCCCCCATGGGGAGGCTTCCAGAGCGGTCTGGACCTCCTCAGCAGTTTAACCTGAACAGATCCGGCCAGGCCGCCTGTGTGCTACGTGTTAGCGCCCGTTAGCTGGGCCTGAGCCCCTCTGGGCCTGAGCCCCAGAACCAGAACCAGAACCCGGCTCTGACTAAAGCCCTCTAAGCAGGCTTCGCCCGCCTGGTAACAGAACTAATGTATATCTTAAAAAATCACTGAGCCCCAGAACCAGAACCGGGCTCTGACTAAAGCCCTCTAAGACTAAAGCCCCTCTGGGCCCCTCTGGGTTAGGGTTAGGGTAGCGGTGGGCCCCTCTGGGTTAGGGTTAGGGTTAGGGTTAGGGTTAGGGTAGCGGGGTCCGTACCTGGAGTCGGTCTTGCTGGAGGGGGAGTCGGGGCACAGGTGGAGGACGGGCGAGGGGGAGCGGGAGGACCCCTCTGGCTCCTCCTCCTCAGAGGCCGGCGGCGTGGCGGAGGGGCAGTCTGGGGGGGGGGAACCGACCCTAACCCCCCCAGGCCGGGGGGAGCGGGGGGGGGATCCGTCCCGGGGTGGTTGCTGTGGTAACGGCTCCTGGGTGAGCCGGACCTCTGGGCCTTTGGGGCCCTCCAGGCCTCCATCCTCTTCCTCTGGCCCCTCTGACCCCTCTGGGTCCTCCTCCCCCCCCC